TCATTAGTACTTAAAACAAGTCTAAGAACAGGCAGAAGCATTTTTTTAACAGAAAAACTAGCAGATACCTTAACAAACGCTAATACATCGCTGGACATGATAAAATAGTGTAGCCTTTCTCAAATTAATCAACATCCACACAAACACCCCTAGCCTTTCATCCAAGAAGCCCAGCCATAGAACAAGCATTTATTCATCCACTCATTCGTCCTCTCCTCTTCCTGCCAGCCTCTCACCCACTTCCTCACTCACCCTCCTGTCTATCTTCTACCTACGCACCCAGCAAACATTTATACCCAGCCTACAGGAGATACAAAGATCAGTTTAACAAGCTCCTTGCCCCTAGTGGGCTCACAGTCTAGCAGGAGGAAGTTATATGGAAAAAAAACAACAAAAAAAAGAGGCCAGGGCAACTGCCGGGTGGAAGAAAGTGCTTGGTAAGAATGGAAAAGATGGGTGTAAATGGAAAAGGCCGCCATGCTAAGTCAGCAGTCATGATATAATTTTATAATAGCAAAAAAAGGAGATGATTAGGCGTAGCCACAGCAAGATGGTTGGACCATGACGCCACAACCGTTCCGTGGAATCCCAAGCAGATAGGTGAAGGGGACCGTGGATCAAAGGCAAACAGACAGAATGTTCAGAGCCAACAGACAGGATGCAAAAAAAAAAAAAGATGTGAACAATGGTAATTAGGCTTCAAAAGCGGATGTTCATTAATATGAGGCAAGAGCTCAGAAGGTATGTGAAGGGTGGACCTGGCGTGTTTCCTCCTGCTCTGGGTCACACGACTTTACAGTGCCACCTTTACATCAAGAACACCAAGGGCTTTGGCCCATATGACCCAAGAATGGGTTAGAAGTCGCAGGGGAGCCAAGGAGAGTCATAGGCTCTGGTGTCACCGGGGAAAGAACTTGTGTGTGTGATACACATAGATGTCAATCAAGAGACAAAATTTGCCTTGTTTTGTAATGTTGAAAGAAACACATCTAAGATAGCCCTGAGCAAGCAGGGGTTCGAGGATCCAAACTTCGGAAGCACATGCAGGCCACCTCCCTGACCCCCAACATACACACTGTGCCTGGGGAACCCTTCCTGTGACTCAGAATCTCAGAACTGAAGACCCTTGGAACTCCAGAGCTGATGCTGAGTCAAAGGTCTAACCTTCATCATTCCCCAGGTGACACAGCAAAGTCTTCCACCCACACCCCCCAGCTCTCTAAGGCAGCAGTGGATCCCTCTGGCTCCTATCTAACCCATGGTGGCCCCTCCCCAGGTCCTGACACAGATGTTGAGGAGTCTCCTGGAGACCCACTCCCATGCTGACCTACATCACTGTCTTCTCACCCTTGTCCCATGCGTGGCCAGGCCCCTCCCTTCCTCTCTTCTCCCCTCCCCAACAGTTGCCATCTTGAAGCCTTGCCTGACACTCTAATTACCCAAACATGGGTCCCATCCAAAAACTTTCCTAAGCCCCTCCACCCACCCCTCTCATCCCACAGGGTCCCTTAGACTTGTCTGGACAATCTTCAGGAGCCAGGTCAGCAGGTGTCCCAGGGATGATATGCGCCGAGGCAGAGCCTGGAGCCCCAGATTCTGAAAGAAGAGGCCAGCAGACCCCTGCGGCCCCAGCTCCACGTCAGGCCCACGTGGCGTTGCTCACGTGGCCCAGACACGTGGTGCTGGGGGCACAGAAGGTGGCTTCTGACACAAGTTCGTGTCTTCCATGTTCAGAGGCTGTCGCCATCCATCCAAGGCCTACACTAGAAGGCAGAAGCCGCGTGGGAAGTGCCGGTCTTCCTTCCTCAGCCCGCACCTGCCAGCTCTTCCCTAAGCCTAGAGACTTGGGGGAAACACTTAGCCCTGGAGTCCTCTTCTTTGCTGGTGTCTCTGACTTCCAGCAACTCACAGACAGCAGCAGCCCTACTACCCCAGCCCACTATACCCTCTCTTCACTGGGTCTGGGGGCGGGGGCTCTCACCAGAGCCCCCTTGCCATGACACATTGGCCCACCCTGCTCCTAGGTCTGCATGTGCTCCCTGGATCCAGCCAAGCTATTCTCCTCCTGCTTGGGCACTTGGTAAGAATCTAATTGCTTTGTTAACGTCCCCAGGAGGAAATGAGAAGTTAAGGGGGACTGTGACCCTTGTTTTGGCAGACTGACACAGGCACACAACACACAGCTGTATACAAATCTTCTCCACAACAGAGAAAGAAAATGACAGGCACAGAGCGTGCCACGGGGACACCAAAATAACAACTCTCCAAGTCTCCCCATGCAGCCCTTGGGGCAGGTCAGAGGGAAAACAGTTGCGACGCCATACAAATGCGCTTTCCACATGTTAAAGAACACATCTTAAAACAGTCTGGAAGACAGGCCTTGAAACGGGCTCCAGGGATGGCATGTCTAAGGGCAAGGACCCAGAACTATGTCTGGAAACCCAAAATAAAGCACATCTGCCTGAACCCTTGAGCCTAGACAGGCTGGCGCCCACCCGGGCACATACCAGGGAGTTGCAAGAACAAAGTGCCTACTGCTTTGCCCAGGGCTCTTGGGTCCCTGGGCTCCTGGGTCATCCTTTGCAGGTGCTCCTAACCCCTATCTTTTTCCTGCACCAGACCCTAGATGTGACTAAGAGACACACCCAAAATGGTGTAAGGTGAGTCAAGCCCAAGTTCACCCGAGCCCCCTGCTCCCTGACCCTCTGCTGACTCCTGTTCCACAAAGCCCCTCACAGCAGGTTCACAGGTGACCTCTGCCGAGGGAGGGGTCAAGATGCCCACTGGGCTTAGCACCCCTTGTTCATGCAACCATCTGCAGAGCCTGGGCCTGAACCCCGCCCCCCGCCCCTATCCATGTCCACAGATAAGATACTGTGACAGGATTGCATCTTTGGACTGAGGATGAGGCTGAAATGGTACACACAACCAGGGCATGGCAATGGTGCCCCAAAGTCAATGTCTTCCTGAACTAGCTTCTCTTTGCCAGGTAAGCTGTGTGGGAAAAGCTCGTGGCATGCCAACAGCTACCCATCCAACATCATTTGGCAGGCAAAACACACAGGCCCCTCCCTTCCTGCATGTCCCCCGTTGTCTACCGTGCACGCACTCATTCACTCCCATTTGATTTTGTTTTAGGGGACATCAACAGCCCAGCTCTAAATGGACCATAACCCTTGGATCGCCAAGACCTTGCTCTCCAAATCTCTCTTCCTTATGCACAGGTTGTTTTGAATTCCTTTCCTATTTCTTCCCGGATTTCAGCTTTCTGTCACTTCCTGACATTCTCATTTTTATAAACTGGTGTGCAAAGTGGGATGAAGCGTGATATGCCCCCGTCTCTCAATTTCTACATCACACTCCACTTAGTTTATCTTTCTCTTTCTTCGGACTCTTTTTAACCTATTAATCTTCTGTGAACAAAACTGTGTTAGTCAAAATGCCGTGTCTTATATATCTGTCCTTGCAATTCTTCCCTGCGCTTGGTCACCTTTTATATTAAGTATTTACTGTTATTTATGGACTTCGACTGCATATATTTTCTTACAGTGGTAGAAGGTGCAGCCTTGTTTGGGGCCTGGCATCTCCTGGCTTTCATATACTCTTTGAAAGGTATAATGTATTTATCTACTTAAGGCGTATGTATGGGAACTCATTATGATCTGTTCAGACAGCCTCTCTTAATTACCCATTTATCACTTTGCTTCTTTATTATCTTTCTTTTTTTATTATTAATTCTCTATATTCTCCCTCCTCCTAAGAACCTGGGCCTGGATTACCTCATCGATCTTCAGGATTAATGAGAATGCATTGCTAATCCTCACAGATCTTTCTCTTGCCCAAGCACCAGGTCCTGCTTCCCTTCCTGGTTTCCCTTTTTCCCCTTTCTGTGCCTTTTTACCTCCCTACCTTTTCTCTCATCTTTTCACCCAAAGGGACCTCAGGTGCCTAGAATGAGATGAGCAAAAATTCCACAGCCACTTCTGTTTCTAATTCATTCGTGTGTCCACCCGTTCTTTCTGTCACTCCTTCATTTCAGTATTTATTCTTTTATTTATGGACCTCAGGTGCACAGGTTTAGATTAAGCGTGATCTGAGGGTCGCAAGCCTTTTCCACATGGCTCTGCCTGCAGCTCTTTTGTTCTTTAATTCCTTGTGCTGGTGCGCTGGTTCAGGACGTATTTAGCTCTCTCAGGAGCCCAGCCTTGAATCAATCATCCTCAGCGTCTTCCCATCCTTTTGTGCCTGTCCGTCCCTCTCTCTCACACGTCTCCACATCTCTTTATCTACACGCTCAGTGTTTTGATTGTGTTCCCTTTCTCACATCCTGTCCCCTGCACTCTTAGCCTTAAACAGCATAAATGTAGCAGTGACTGATTAAAATCAGTTTCCTGCTCATTTCTTTCACAGTCACCCTTCAGTTTACTGTCGCTATCTGTTTTTGCTTGGATAAACCTCACCCTACCATTAACACATTTAATGGCTAACATTTATTCACTGTAGTTAAGTACTTATCCAGGAAATGGTTCTTCTTCCACAAGTCCATCTAAATTCTTCCCCATACCTTGCCTTTCCTCCCTCTTTTAATGTATCCCGCTCATTGTACCATTTGTGCATTTGAGGACCATGGTATCGTTTATACGTTTGTTTTGCAGGGCTGGGAAGGAACCCAAGGCCGGGCACATGCTAGGCCCCACCCGCGCCCAGGGCTCAATTTTTAATTAATATAGATGACCGGTGTTAAACAAGTCCCATCTCCTAGACCTCGTCGTCTGCTTATTATCTCCCGTGCTTCTTTTTGAACCATTTTCTTTTCCCATCTTCTTGTTACTTTCTATCACTCTTCCCCCTTTTATTCTTTGGGAAATTCGATGACCCTCGGGGGCTCTGCAGCACCCTCCTCCTCAGCAGTGAATGCAAACCTTTTTGTCCCATTCACTCATTCGTGCACTCATGCATCCATTTGGTCTTTCTTTCCATTTCAATACCGGTTTCTGCACTTCTAGAGGGCAGGTGCACCTAATTGGATACATCATAATCTGCTGTTAATGGGCCTCCCCTCCCTGGCCCCACTGAAACCCTCCCTGACATATTGATGCCTGAAAGGTCTCTTGGTTGGGTGGGTCATTGTCCGTCTCAGAAGCACAGATAGGAATGGACCAGTCTGCTGACACGGCCTTTCGTCCTGTCCTTAGCAGGCTTCCGCCTTCTATCTGGATTCATCTAGCCCTTTGTGAACACATTATCACCTTTCTTCTCTTCAAGCCAACATTTTACATTTCTTTTCCTTTTCCATTGACTCTCTTTCCCAGCTGTCATAGGCTGATGGATCAGAAAGTCACCTACAAACATCCCTCCTCGACCCACAGGGCTATATCTCTTTCTCTCACACACTTTCACTCATGTCACCTTCCACCCTTCTTTTCTTTTTGGTGTTTAACCCTCTGCTGGTGGAATTAGGTGCTCAGATTTTAGTCCTAGCCTAGCCCTCCTGGGTAGCTATTCATTTGCCCACTTGGTAGATTTTTACTTTTTCCCTTTTCTTTTGTGACTGCCTTTCTATCTTGTTACAGCTTCCCACACCTCCTGGCTTGCCTTCTCATGGACCTAAAGTACCCAGGGGATGAGCTACGAATGCCACCAGCACCCTCTTGCAGGCCTTCCCTTCACCTGCCCTTCGTTTGCTTCTTGGGGTGCTTTATGGCTTGCTCATGTGACACTGTTTTACTGACAGAGCAGCAGTGTTGAGCAGCAAGATTTTCATTTATACTTTCAAACTTACCATGTGCTGAGTCCTTTCTTATCTCTGGGTTGTGTGTGTGGTGTGTGTGTGTGTGTGCATGGACTTTGGGAATGTTCCTCAATCACTCCCCACCTTATTTTCTGAACCTAGAACTCACTAATTTGGCTGAACTCACTAGCCGCTGAGCCCCCAGGATCCTCCTGTCTCTGCCTCCCAGTGCTGAGATTATAGGCATGTACCACTGTAACGGTACATGAATTCTGGGAGGTTAAACAAGTCCTCATGCCTGAACAGCAAGTGCTTTACTGCCGTTTCCACAGCCCCTTCTGTATTTTCTTCTCTTTCACGTTCCTTCCCTCTGCAGGTCTCAGGTCCCCGGACCAGATACCTAAAGCACCTTTCTCATCTGGAACTAGGTCTGTTCATGTCTACTTGTTCATCCATCCACCCTACTTTTCTCTGCCAACTTTCACATGGAGAGACTCTGGGAACCCAGACTTGGTAACTGTTGGCTTAGACTACGCTCTTGTCTCAGCCCCTGGGGTCCTCCTCCTGTTTTCTTTGGACCCCTCTTTGGTCTATCCCTCTTAAAGATCTCACTTCCTCTGTTCAGTGTCCCTTCCTTCTTCCTTCTCTCTGGTCATTTCCTCCCTCTGACCTCAAAATCTCAGCATTGCTTTAAATCTTCCCACTCCTCCTGTCATTTTTTTATTTAGGTTTCCTTCTGTCAATAAACTTGTGTGTGTGGTCCTACGTATCAACTCGACATTTTATTGATTTACGTATTGATCATCTGGGTGTCAAAGGGACTGACTGGTTGGTGTGCTCTCCCCCACCTGACCTTGCTTACTTCTGTTCCTATTCTTTTTGTTTCTTTAGTCCTTCCCACTTCTTTCACTCATCCATCTAAACATTTACTATGTGATGTAACAGACACCAGTGAAACAGCCTCCCAACAAGAAAACCAGAGCACCCGTGCCCTCTTGGCCCTTTCTACTTCCTCTCACCAACTTAACCACCAAAGTATGCAAACCCACAGCCCAGAAACACACACAAATGGCAGATGTGGGGGCAAACACAGCAAATGTTCTTTTACCACCAGATTCTCCCAGGGCTCACCCCAGACATACAGGGGCCAGATCTGAGACTAGGGCCCCCCTTCCCCAGGCCCCCTTGGCAGAGTGGACACTTCCCCCTCTGCCCCTCTGAGCCCCGGTGAATGGCCATCCCCATGAGAAACCTGTTTCAAGACCCCAGAATACATAGAGACACACACATGGTACAGTCTTCCTGGTGGGAAACGCCGGACACGGAGTTCATTTGTAAATAGGTGGCTTTGTCTACAGCAATATAAAAATATTTTGGCCTTTCAAGACAAATACAAAAGAAACTCCCATTACCATCCCTGAGTGTCTCAGTCCCAGACAATAAAGAACTTGAAGAGGTTTAGCCGGAAACTTTGAAGACAGAAAACCTGCCCATTATGTTTTTCCAGACATTTCCAGCGGGTGAGCTCAGGTCATGGGGGGCTCGAAGCCGATTTGAGAAGCTGGTCCCTCAGCCTGCGTTTTCTCCTCATCCCTTTGAAGGCCCCAACTCACAAGGGCACTTCCATCCTAGTCAGCCCTGCGGCACAAGAGCCACGGGGAGATTCCTCAATGAAAGGCCCATTCATTTAGAGCGGAGTGAAAAACAAGAAATTCTTTTGGGGTCCCACACTCAAAGCGGCCTATAGAATTCATTTGACACAGAGACAACACAAGGGGGCTAGAGGCTCCCATCTTACAACACAAGCACCAGGTCAGCCCTTAGCTTGGTTCACTGGACAATCCACCCGCTCTCATCGACACAGGCTGCAGGCTCGCCTGGCTGGGTACTTCAGCTGGAACCCCGCCCCGGCAGCCTCAAGTACGCTCACTGTACTCTAGACACTTACGATTTACAGTTGGAGGGTACTGGGAGTGTGTGTCCATGTCCATGTGTCCGGGGGTTCCTTCGCACACAGGATTCCAGGTGATGACTTTGGCTAGAAGCAAAAAGCTTGAGGTCACAGGCTAGAACCCCGGCCAGGTCAGAAAGGACGAGGAGGCCGGTGACTGAGGATAGCACCTTTGCAGGGGGTGGGGGTGGCTTAAAGCAGGGATTCTCTCAAGTTTAGACTCCGTGACAAAAAGTTTCTCTCTGTTCAACCCACTCGTTCCATGCTCACCCCTCACCAGCTGCCTTTGGAGGGATGAGGGGGGCGCAGAGACGGGAGCAGGGCTCCAGACCAAGACTCCTGGGACTAAGACATGGTGGGCTAACTGCAGCTGTGCGGGGAAACCAAAGCTTTAGGGCCACTGCACAGGTAAGATGCAAACTGATATCTAAGGAAGAAAGGCCAGTCCCTGGCAGGCAGGGCATCAAAAGCCCCTTGAAGGCAGGGCACACATTGCTCCCTGAGACAAGCCAGTGATCCATTGAAACTCAGCACAGGACAAGCTAGACAGAGGGGCCCAGGTGACCAGGCAAGAGATCCACTTCCAGGAAGCCAGGATGTGTGATGGGCTAAGACTGTAAGTTTTTAATGGGCGGTATCTTGAATAGCCATGGCACATACATCACAGGGTGACAGGTGACCTCCATGGTACCTGGACAGCTACCCCTACACTAACCATGCCACAGACGTGTAACAAGCACTACAGAATACCAGCACAGCACATCTTTATGACGTCAACTGTTTGCCACAGACTCAAGGTGTAAAACTGTGATGTACAAATGTGTGCCACTAAATAATTGCTGGAACCCACAAAAAGTGCAATGCAAGGCCAGCCCAATGGCATAAACTACGGACTTCACCTACTGGTCCCATATCAATGGGTCCCATGTCTCGTGGTTGATAAGCAACTCACAACACCAGTACATGATGCTAACAAGAGAGGAAGACAGCGGTCCATGTGAACTATGTATGCTTTCCTTCTTCATTTTTTAATTTTATTTTAATTTTGAGACACAGTCACATGCAGCCCAGATTAGCATCAAACTTGTTGCATGAGAAAATGACTTTGAACTTCTGATCCTCCTGCCTCTACCTTCCATGCGTTTAAATTACAGGCATAACCCACACCACATCTGATTTTATGTGGTGCTAGGGACTGAACACAAGGCTTCTTGAATGTTGAATCCTGTAAGCTCTGTACCACCTGAACTACATCCAAACCTCTGTATTCACTGCCTTGATTTTTCTGCAAACCCAAAACTGCTTAAGAAGGAAAAAAGAGGTTGCATATTAAATATATTTTCAAATAATTTTTAAAATATTTCAATCATCTTGTAAAAGTAAAATGGTGACTGGCAGAAAGGGGGTCTGCCATGGCTGGAAGTGAGCGACGAGGGATGAGATGGCAGGAAAATGCCAGGATCTGTTCACAAGCCCTCTAGAGACTGGCTTTAGGTGAGACACAGAGAGATGTGTGGGGTGCTCTCGAGGCCACCAGGAGGCAATGGGAGATACGGTACAGTGGGGGCTCTGAGATCCCACCCGCTAAGATGCACAGAGCCCAGGACCTGGGAGACTCCAGGTGAGAGTGTGCCAGGTACCTGCCCTGCTGTCCCCCACCCAGGACCTGAAGGAGAAGCACTCTGCCACTCCCAGTCTTCAGAGACACGTCCTGCTCCCTTTCTCCCTCTGTTCCCAGGCAGGTCTCCGGCTAAGGCACCCCAAACCCTGCCAAGGTACAGAGAGGATGTATATACCTTTTATTTTCAAACCTTCTGTAAATCCCTTCCTGGCTGTGTGGCCTATACTCCCCAAACGTGATTTTCCTATAACTGCTTGATTTCCTAACTTGAAGGGTCCAAAAAGCATCAAGAAGCTTGGGGGTGATGTGGGGGCAGAATCTGGGAATCCAAAAGCTCGGGACCACCTACCACGTCCTGAACACCCCTCTCCTCAGGGAGCGGCTGGGGTGGCCGCTCATCATAACCACCGGTCACTAGGTGACAATGGGACTCCAAACCAAGAACACACAGCAAGACCAAAGGTGCTGCTGCTTTTCCCCAGGAACACAAGCCGGGTCCTTTGCTCTCCTGCTTCTTTTGGTCTGTTTTGTCTTTAATGGGAACAGGGTAATCAGAAGCAGCCCAGGGCATCTGGGTTTCTTCCTGCCTCTCCTCCAAGCCCCTGTGGACCCTTCAGCATGCCTGACTGTCCTTAATGAACTCGGCATGCAGACCCCAGGCTGCTGTGCTAGCCCGCAGCCCCAGCAAAGTCGTGCCTTGGTTTAAAAGCTGCAAGTACCAGCTCTGGGTCTGCTGTGATGTATTAATAACGCAGTGCGGGGCTGGAATCTTAACAAATGTCAGAAAAGCTGCAAAGATGAGTCACTGTCTGGAGCAAAAGGAAAAAACAAGATCTTATAGAGTCCAAAGAAATCACTGTCACACGCATTTGATGGAAGACCTTGGTGTGTGTACTGAGCTCATGACCCACGTAGAAAGTGATGGTAAGCGTACCAACTGCAGCCCCCACATCTTAACAGGATGAAAAAGAACATTCTAGCTCTGCATCTTGAGTTTTTTTTTTTTTTTAAGTTTCTCTCCTCCAGAGGCACACAAGACCTAATTGATCTAGCCTGTCTTTGGTATAGATATCTTATGGCTGTTTCAAACAGAGAAAAATGTCAAAAGATTATTTTTGCTAAAATGTTGATTTCAAGAAATAGAGCCTACAGTTACACAAATGATCAGCCCTGTCTGTGATCGCCAGCCTCCTACCTGTTGAGAAAATACTACCCTCTTACAACTTCCCCCTGACAAATGCAAGCTCTTTGCAGAGCTAATTTCCTGTACCTTTGTGAGGCCCGGGCCTTGGACATTATGGGCCCATTTATGAAAATGGGAGAGGTAATTGGGACATCTTTTGAAATCGTGTCCCCTTCTCCCGCGCCGGGCCCCCGCCAGCCTTCTAATTTTCGTTGGTCGGGTTACAGAGGATGTTTACGTACGCCTCTTCCTGGAATTTCACCTCTTTGCTTCAGGAGTGGGCAATTAGAGAGAATTAGGACCTATTTGGTACATGTTTACTCTTAATGGTTAGAGAGGCTGAGGCAGCCTCGGGAACACAGTCTGCCAGTCTAATTGAAGCTGGCAATTTTTTGATTCCTCATTTCAGCTCGCAGGTATTGTAGCCACCAAGGTCACAAAACAAAAGCTGCAGTCCACCATGGTAATAACAGGCACAGACAGAGATGAGCATACAAGGCCACCCGCTACAGGCAGCAAAGGTGCCGCTTTTCCAGAAGTTGCTACCCTGGCGGTTTCTGCAAAAAGTTCTTCCCCAAGTGAGCCAGGGAGCCAACAGGGTGCTGCCGAGAGCCTCTTGACCAAGTGCACACAGTGGGCCACTTGGAACTGAGAGAGTACTGCTGGCCCATACTCTCCTGGAACAGAAGACATGGGTCTAGTCTCATTACACAAGAGTTGCTCTCTGGCCCAAAAAGGGTTTCCCAGCCTGGTTGGTGGCACACTTGTTTGAATAATGCTCCATAATGTATAATCTCTACACTGCAGCCTATGGGGCAGCCCTGAGGACCTTCCCACTGCCCAGGCAATGGCCTTTGCTAAGACCTGTGGTCTCCAAAAGCTGACACTGAGGCACTAGCTAAAGTCTGTGACCCTCGGATCACACCAGTCATTCAGGAGCTGGCAATCAGCAGGTCGCTCCCCACCCAGGGCTGCAGCTGGCTGGAGTAAGGCCCACTGGAATCCGGGATACTCATCTCTGAAGTGGAGGAGGACCTGAAACCACCAAGGTCCCTGGAATGCACTCACACAAAACACAGCTGACCACCAAGGACGGCGTGAGGGAACCCCGAGACTGGCAGAGTTCCCAGGCCTCCAACTATAGGTTTGTACTCTCCATCTCAAGGATGGAGAAACTGAGGCCCTGAGGGCTAGAGACAGGGGCTGACAGCAGTAGTCAGAGCTGAGCAGGGGCTGGACCCAGACTCTGGAAAGCAGCTCCAGGCAGCTCTCTACCCCTGACCCCAGCACTCATTTTCAGATCTATCCTCTGACCACCTGACAAGTGTCAAGGAGCAGAGGTCATGGACCTCTGTTTCCTCCTCTGGTCAAACAGGAGCGATGCAAGGCAACTATTCTAGTTACTTAATTTTTGTAGTTAATGGGCTGATGCCTCATTTTACAGACATAAAAACGGAGGTTCAGAAGCAGAAGACACTGGACAGAACAGAACCAGGACTCTTTCTTCTCCTAGCAGGGACTTTGCCGTGGATGTGCAGAGGGGCCGAAGAAACCCTTAGGGCCAGTCTGGGGCAGTATGGGACAGCCAGCTTCCTTCCAATCCACTGGCAGAGGAAGCCACATTAACTCCTTCCACTGCCTCCCCACAATTTCAGACACCTAACCCCACTTCTTAACAGTGGAGGGATGTCTCTACCCACCTACAGGGTGGCCCAGTGAAGCCACTGTGAGGCAAAGGAACTGCACAGCTGTGGTCTCCGGTGGCCGGCACAGACATGCGCTCAGCCTTTGGCCCCTCTGCCAGCCCTCTTTCCATTCTGGAGTTCTGTCCCTTGGCCCCAGTCTTGTGTCTCTAAAACATCTTTTGGGCATCAGGCCCAGTGTGATCAAATTCTTGCTTACAGTTATTGCATCCCTTCTACCCCAAAAGACTTGAACAAATTCAGCCCTGGGATGGATGAGCTCAAGGGTCCCCAGGGTCACGAGAGCGGGTGGCTAACTACGTGTGGGTCATTGTACCGCAGGAGTCTCCGCCTTGGTCCAATATACAAGGCCGGGGGCCCCACACAACCCCCAGGGAACACACACACACTCCATGTCGGGAAGGTAATTGAGGTTTTCTTCTTTTCATCTGAAGAAAGGGCACCTTCCATTGACAGGACGTATTCACAGGACCTGGGAAACTCACTGGAGCCGGCTCTCCCAATTATCCCCAGGTGGCTGTACTCCGCAGGACCCCCTCCCCACATTCCTTTCTGCCTGGGCCTTTGTTTCCAGCTGCAGAAGCCTGGGAGCTCCCAGGCTAAGAGTCTCCTCCTTAAGCCCCTGCCAAAGACCCTATTCACTAGGAGAAGAGAAGGCCTGCTCAAGGTGGTGGGGTGGGGAGCCAGGCTCCTGCCCAACTCCCAGGCTAGGGGAGGGAAGACCTCACCATCTGCATTTTTCTCTTAAGCCCAAAGAAACTAGAGAGCAATTAAGAAAGTCAAGACTGAGCCCTCCACCACTGTCCTCTCCTTAATTAATTCCTCTCCCACACACATCCTGCTCAAGTTGGGGGGCCCCATTGGCCTCCATCACCAGACACCTGCACAGCCCCCTTGGACTCCAGGGTAAAGAGAGCCAAGAAGAGAAATGTGGAGACATGGGACACTGTGTTCTGAGGATTCTAGCTAGGGTGACTAGATTTTCAAAGGAAGACTCAGGACCTGGGTGCTGTCTTCAAGGCCAAGTAATCTCAGAACACACTAGACATTCCTGATGCTGCTCTGTCCTGTTGTGACACAGTCGTTGTTCCACAGTGCCCAGGAGGAAACACCATCATCAAATGCATGTCCCCCCCCGCCCAGGCCCCTCTCCAGCCCCCAAGGTCTCCCTCATTTCTCCTGACTCTGATCTTTCTGTGCCACAGAGGCAATACACCCTGAACACCACCCCTTTTCTAAGAACCCCAGAGAGCCAGCGGTCTGCCCCATCTGAACCAGCAGTAGACCACGAAGAAAACCATGCCTACCGGAAGGTCTTTCCCTTTCAGAGACCCCTGTGCTTGAAGATGGCTTCACTCTGAAAGCCCAACTCTCCTAGAATTTTCCATCTGCTCTAACCAGAGATGGGAATGCAGGCATGACTTCCTGTTTGGGAGAGGGATCCAGGCTCAAAGCAGCAAAGGGAGACTGGTCTTTGGGACTGTTCACAGCCTGTTAACTTTCAGTCTCAATCGCTTGCAGCACACCCCAGCCAGCCCTTCCAGCTCAGCCTCCTGGTTGTCCTGCACTGCTTGCTGCCCTTCGACCCTCCAGGACCAAATTAATTTGTCTTTCTCTACACCCCTTTTGTGTACTACTCCATTCTTTTCATTAGCAAGCTCATTAAAAGATGGGTAGATTTTTTTTTTTCATTCTTTCTAAGAAGTCAGATTGCTCATTAAAAAACACATTTAAGTTACTTCATGTAACTAAAGAACGGGAAAAACATGTATCCTGTTGGCCTTAAGTCTTGCCAGGTTTTGACATTATTTGGAGAAACATACTTGCAAATGCATTTGGGGTTTGAATCACAACTCAGAGAGCACAAGGTCAGGAGCCCCGAAGATCAGCGCAAGAAGCTCAAGGTGGGAAGGCTAAGAGAAGACCCCAGCCAAGGTAGCCCCTCCACAAGAAGCCTTAACCAAACTCTGGCTTTCCTTTCCCAACAGCCCCTGGGGCAGGTGGGAGAATCATTCCCAAACAAGACCACAATCTTTTCCCAGACTCTGTGTATGTGGAGCACCAGGCTAGAGATGATTCTGGAGAACTAAATACTTAGCACCAAGACAAATGACCAGAGACCCTGCACCTTCCCACCAGGAGTGGCCACGCCCTCTGGGCCTCCTCCCTTTGCAATTAGGGCCCCCTTTCCACCCCACATTGCTCAGAGATTGCCTAATCCACCAAAAAAGAATTTTCCTGAAAATGATCATTTCTTTCAGTCTTACAGTATTGCTCTCTCTATAGTTCTTCAGACTCTAGTCTGCAAGGCTGGTCTGTTACAGTAGGTTTCAATGCCTTTAATTAAGAATTTGGTATTTGCTAGGTGTGGTGGTGCATGCCTTTGATCCCAGCACTCAGGGAGGAGGCAGGTAGATCTCTGTGAGATCAAGGCCAGCCTGGTTTACATAGCAAGTTTCCAGGTCAGCTGGGGCTACAGGGAAAAACTTTCTCAAACAGAAAAAAAAAAAGAAAAGCACTTGGTATGTCTTGTACTTGTTATTTTATCTAATGACACACAAAATTGCCAAAAGATGTGTTTGCCTGAGATTTAATGTTCACAGTCTCTGAAACGCCATTCAATCACAATGAACCTTCGTGCAAAGCTTATTCTGAGTAAACAGCCTTATTCCTGTCTCCTGGGGTGGGGGGGGTGGTCTGCAGAGTCTGAAGTTCTTTGGGATAAGGGGGCAGAATAGCCACATAGCCAGGTCTATCAGTTTTCTCCATAACCCCTTGGCGTAGTCCACCTCCAAATCCTGAGCTGTCTCTGATGAACAAGCCCAGACCCTCAGGCCCTTGGCTCCAACCAGCTACCCAGAGGCATTGTTTAAGCTCCAGATTTGCTGCCCCTGGGAGCCAGCATCCTGCCCGGATCAAAGCTCCCCTCCCAGACCCACGTCACTATGTTTGCAGGTAGCTCAGCAAATGCCAGCTGTGGAGTAAATGTCACAGGGCAGAGCCTTCCCAGTGCCCTGGACACACACACACCCTCCTCCCCACAGCCTGTCTGGCTCTCCAGAGAGGGAGACAGAACAGGCAAAGGCCGGGTTTGGGTGCTCAGCCCCCTCTACACTCAGCTGGCTTTTGTTTAAAAATAAGATCCCAATCCGTTTCCATTTCAGGGGAGAAAGGCTGGGCTGAGGAAGAGCCATCTGCAAATCTTGTTTAATGAGAGGACATTAATGTAGACGATTCGTCAGAAAGCAGAGACACCATGGGGAGGGGCATGGAGCTCTGTTCACAGAGACCCCCAGTGTAGACACCGAGAAGGATGGCGTCTAGTGGAAGGAAAGAGCTGTATCCACTCAGTGCTCCCCGATGTCTTCCCTTCTGGCTCCCATCCTTCATCCTGGCATGGCTACGTCACACCACCCCAAGTGAGACAGAAAAGAAGGCCCCCCTCCTCTCTGAGCCACCTTGCTGACTGCCCTGCAGGGGCCCTCCCAGATCACAGAGCAGACCCTCCAGCCCTTTGTACAAAGCCTGATCCTAGTCTCCTGCCCCCAACCCCCACGGACCCTCAACTAATAGGTCTTGAGTAAAGTGAACCACACAGACACACACATACACACACACACAAATAAATAGTCTTCGAATGAATCGTGTGGCTCTGAGCCTCAGTCTTCTGTGTCTTCACCATTAACAGATTTTGTTTAAACAAACAAAAACATTCCTGTCTCTTTGCAGTGTGGGGTGAGGAACAGGGGCCAGGAGAAAAACTCACTCAAAAACCACCATTTGATTAAAGGACATTACCAAAGCCCCATGTGTGCGAGGCCTCAATTCTCCCAGGGAACGACGTTGCCATGGCGGGAGGGAGAAATGTCTCCTCACACAGGATGGATAGCCACCCATGTCCACAGCTCTGAGGGAGCAGGACAAGGCAGAGGTAGTGATTCCCTTCACGAACATGATCAGCTGATGGGACTGTGTGCCTACTGTGTGCCTGGCCTTGGCCATTCCCAAGAGTGTAGACTACTTGTGAACTCTCCCACTTACTGTCTCTGGTCTCCAGTAGCCAAGATGGACTCCCACACATGCTGACTTGGCGTGGTGAGGGTCTCCGCTCCAGGCAGTTTCCAGGTCTCCAGGTACGAAGGTTGATGTGGAAGTTTTGTAAGCTGCCCCTCCCGAGTAAATGTTTTCTCTCTTGAGTGGACAGGTGATGTGAGTGGATCCTAATGAGGTTGTGCATGTTGACGCAAGAGACTCACCCTAATCTGTGAAGGAGGCACAATGCAGGTCCTGAAGGTCTGGGTCCAGGCGCTGGGCCTCATGGGGTCCTTGGGGTCCTTGAGGTCCTTAGGGTCCTCGGGGTCCTCAGGGTCATCGGTCACTTCCACCTGCTGTTCTTCAGCCAGTATGGCCGGTGGGTGACTCCAGCTTTGAGGAGGAGCAGAGAATTAGAATTACTGCAGGGCAAGCACCCCGAAGAAAGCCACCCGCGCTCACACACGAGGACACAGAGCATGGTCTCACCTGGTCTTCCGTGGAGAGGAGGAGCTCTTGGCACATGACCACAACAGGAAAAGGCAGAAGAAGGATGCAACCGGCCTGGATGGCAGCCCCCCCAAACAACACCAAGTGATCAGCAAGTGGCCTAGCAGGGCCCAGCCAGGACTCTGAGGAACATGATGGCAGTTCAGGTGGGCCGTGGGGCAACACCCACCAGGGAATGATGATTAGGGATCTCTGGGGCCAGCACAGCAGGCCAAGCCATAAACCTGGTTATAGCCCCTGGTCACTCAGACCCTGGAAGCCAGGCCCACAGGAAGTGACGGCATCAGCAGGGGCCTGTCCCACGTGTATCACTTGAAAACTGAGGCAACACTGAGTGGGCAGGGCAACGGGGTTTGAACCTGGTGGCTGAGAGAAGCAGGGAGACCAGGTTAGCAAGGGAAGGCAGCTTGTAAAGCAGAGGGAGGGGTGGCCAAGACCAGGGATCCCAAGCCTGGGGACTGAGGCAGAGTTGGGTATTAGGCAGACAGTGTAGGATAAAGACTACGCAAGCAGAATGCCAAAAGAGCAATGAACCTGGGCACCGGGGAAGCAGGGAGGAAACAGCGGTGGGGGGGGGGGCAGCCAGGGAAAGGTGGGGCCTGCACATGCTCCCTGGAGGCTCCTGGCATGGGACACAGGCCCCAGCGAGCAATATGGGGACAGAGAGGCTAGACTGAGTCCCAGGGAGAAGACGGAACTCAGGGGAGGGGATCCAAGCCACAGACCCCCCCACCTCAGGAGGGAGACCTGCATGGCCTGGACCAGGGACACATCACAGCTGTCCTTGCCTCAGCCCCTAAGCTACAGGGCCAGTAGTCCATACTCAGCCACGGGGGAAGGGGGGGGCAGAGGGGGCGCAAAGCCCTGGAGGTGGGCAGGTTTGCGTGGAGGCCAGGCAGGCAAACCACACCAACCCCATGCCCTCAAAATGCCCTCTACAGAGCCAGAGACGACTGCTCTAGCACCTAGACAACCCCCCAGCCTGCCCTCCCTGGGAAGCAGAGGCCATCAAGGGACAAGCTAGGTGGCAGGTGCCAAGCCCAGGGCCAGGACCATGGGCACGCTCAGTTAGGATCAACTGTTGGATGACGGGATGAACGCGCGGATGAATGCAGGGGCTCAACCAGGAAAGACCCCTTGAAATGGGGCTGGTTCTGGGGCAGGAAACTGCTGACTCCCACATCCCAGGACCCCTGCCCTCCACCCTTTGAACCTAGGACTCCTTGGGTAACCCACCTAGCTGCTCAGGTGTGGCAGTCGAGTCCTTCCATTCATCCACCTGTCCAAGCATACATCCCACATACTCTTACTGAGCCCCACTATTTACCAGGATGGTGCTGGGACACCCAGAGGAGGGGGGGTTGGCCTAGGGGCACCCCAAGAAAGCCAGACTCGAATGGGAGAGGGAGGGGACAAGAGAGGGAAACTGAAGCCAAGAATGGAGGACGGAATGGGCAGTGAAGGTAGAAAAACAGTCATTCTTAGAAGAATTGGGGGCTGTGGGCCTTTCCTGGCCTCACTTGGCCTGGTCTCAAGTTTCCCACTATATCCTGATTACTTTGATGAACAGTAAATACCCAGGATGCTCTAGGGGGGCCTCTGGGCCAACTCTGAAGCTGATCTGTAAAGGGTGATCTCTGTGTCCATTGAGGGTCCCAGCAAGCAAGGGGGCAGGTAAAAACTCCACCTACACTCAAAGAAGCAGTTAGCTCAGGTCCCTCTGCTTCTAGCTGACCTGCCTTCCAGAACTACAAGTCCTGTGGTAGTGGGGACTCCTGCTTAAGTTGCTCAAAGCTGTTAAGTCTCGGGATCCTTGTAATGAGTTCTGATGACCTCCGACTAAAGATGCTGGGCAAAGGTCCTGCACACCCTTCTCGGGTTCTTAAATACCCTGGGGGCTCCTAGATTATCAGAAGTGGCTTCAGGGACCTGTTAATTTACTAACTGATGGATAAGGAGAGATGGAGGGACCCTGGAGACTATTCTTGATCATTTAAAGAAGTCTTTGCATTTGTAAACAGTACCAACTGATTCTACTCTCCAAGGGGAATGTAGGGGCAAGGAGGCTTGTGTGTGACGCCCTCCCCAACTTCTTATACAAGGTGAGGACCTGATTTGGATCCATAGCACCTTAGAACCTTCAACCAGTAGACTCACTGAGGGAAGAAAGGAGAGAGAGAGCCCCCACCCATAAGTTTTAAATAATGTTTTCTTGTTCCAATCACTTCTCTTCTCCTCTAGTTGTTTGTGTGTGTGTGTGTGTGTGTGTGTGTGTGTGTGTGTGTGTGTGGAGGTTGGTTTGCAAGGGGCTGGGACAGCATCTGCTTCTCTAGACAGGTTTCTAGGCACCCTCCTGCGTGCGTGCGTGTGTGTTGTGTGTGTGTGTGTGCGTGTGTGTGTTTTCATTTGGCTGAAGGTCTGGCTAGGACCTAAAGTTTAATTGGAGTGATCTAATCTTGATTGAACTGCCTTGGGATGACACACGCACAGAACTTGGGATAAACAGGGGTAAGTTGAATTCAGGGTGGGTCACTGCTCTAAAGTCACAGTGGACTTAAGGGAATCGAGGATAGAGGGATTCAGGAGAAGGCCATGGACTGGGGACATTCGAAGATAAGAGATTAACTAGGGATCTGACGTCAGATCAAAACTGGGGTGCTAGTGAGGGAACCAAGGACATGTCACTGGCTTTCAGAGCCCCAGTCTTATCAGTAAGCTAGAGCTAAATTTGAACCTTAGCTACAGCCTTTCATGGGGTGCCACTATCCCCCCATGTCTTGGCCTGGGTGGACCAATCTTCCTGGCTCTGGCACTATGATTTGGCTCTTAGCTGCCATCTGAAAATCTGGCCTAAGTTCCAAAGCCCTCCATAGGATCGGAAACATTTCTGGAGAGGGTTGGGGTGGGACTAGGAGCCAAGGCTGGGAGCTGGGTGAGAGGGAATGAGTGTGGCTTGATGTGGACCATGCAGACCCTTGTCTGTCTTCAACTTACAACTCCAGTCAATGGGCCTCACACTGGGATCCGGGGAGGAAAGCTACAGCCCAAAAATGAGAAGTGTGGCTTAAGAACCCAAGGCACCCCCTGGCCCTCGGCCTCCGGCTCAGCTCATTATGATAATCAGTATGTTTTTCCTTCCCAGACAAAGAGGGCTCCTTATGAGAGGAATATTGGAACCCAGCAGCTACCTCATTAGCGTCTGCGGCCTCTTCCTTCGACAAGGCCCAAGATTAGCCCTGTGTTCATTAAGGAGAAAGGGCTGGAAAACCCAGCCGGGGGGCGGGGCGGCTCTGTTCTAGGAGCTGGTCATTCTCTGAGATCCCTCTTGTACCTTAGGGACCTAATCACCAGTCAACTGGGCGGTGGGGAGGGGGCCGGAGGCACAGAGGTTAAACCTGAGGGACGGAGTTCAGAACCTCAAATGGGGCGATTTGATATGGAAGTTTCCTGGGATTTGTCACTGGCATAATCAATTTAAAAGCTTCCTCTCGTTTTCTTTCTTCTAAGCCTAACCTAGGAGGAAAGCTTTTTCTAGATGAGTTTTGGGTGGGTCTTAATACTTGCTAAGCCTCCTTTTCTGACTTGCGTGTCTTTAATGCCCTTTTTAAAAATTACTCTTTTCTTCTTTCTCCTTCTCCTCCTTCTCCTCCCCTCCCTTCTTTCTTCTGTCTGTGGCTTTGGTCCTCTGCATGGGAATTTAGCCCAAAAGAAAACCTAATGGTGACCCAAATTTGCTCACGAACACCTGTCTTGACTTCCAGTACCCTTGGCTGGCAGTGGCTGAGCCTTACCTGGTGGTGCTCACCTGGTCTTCCTGGTGAGGCGCATTAACCCTACTAAGGTGTCTTGGAAGAGCTGTCCTACACCACAGTCCCAGCATTAAGTGTTTCCTAGGACTCAAACCCCAGTCAGCCAACTCCAGAGTGAGGAAGGTGATCCTGCCAGCTGAGTTGGCAGGAGGCAGGTTCAGGAAGTTAGGAGTCCTGGGGAGGATGTAAATCCCCAGGGAAGGTGAGACCAGGTATGTCCATAAAGCAGGTAATATGTGGAAACAGAAGGGAACCAGAGCTATGAAGCCATGGAACAGGAGGCATGGAAATGTGTCCTTGTGTCCAGCCAGGCTGGAAATATGTGAAGGGTCAAGCTAGAGAAAAGTCTTTACCTGAGCGAGAGCCGTTCGATGGAGAAGAGCGAGTCAGGAAGCAGTGGGTTGGAGGGGAGATTGGAGGTGAGGAAGGAAAGCAGCGAGTGTGGACAGGCCTCGAGAAGCCGGGCTGTGAAGGAAAGACAGACACTGGAGTGGCCAGGAAGGAGGACAGGAGGAAGTGGGGCTCCAGGTCGGGGACAGCAGAATCAGGAGTCCAGGGGGAATCGAGGTGGAGGTGGAGGAGGTGCAGGTGTGAGACAGGTACATGTTCACTGTTAAAACTGAAGACGTCATGGGGACAATGACATGGGGGGGGTGCCCAATCGGAGAAGCCGCTTGGTAACCTCTGCTTCCCTGGGAGGTCACGGGCCGGTCCTAGGTCAGGACAGGGAGTTGTGAGGATCAAATGAATGGGAGGTTGCAAAAGAGGGACCTGCTGGAGTCTCCTGCCTGGATTTCCACTGACCGTAAGTGATGCTTGATGCTGTGCATGCTGAACATTATTAAGAATGTAAAAGCTCCAAAGGCTCCGTCTTAATAGCCTGAATTAACTCAAAGCGGGTCTCCGCCCACTGCAATTGTCACTTTCTACGTCCATTTGCTACATAATCCAATCAGCCCCTTTCAGAAACCTGGACGCCATTGTCCACTCAAAGCTGGGCTTCTCTAAAGTAGCCCAGTTGTTTTTGTCTTGTCCGGACAAAACTGGTTGGCTTAAAAGGCAACTAAAGAAAGTGCTGGTCAAATGAAGGTCCCAATTAGCCTCCAAGAGACTGTTCCCGTTATCTTTGTATCCCAGACCTAGCCTGGTGCATAGGGCACATGGTCAGCATTTCAGAAAATGTTTGTTGAATTAATTCCATTTTTATTTATTCTGGAATTTATTTACTGAGCACAAATACACAGCACCTACTGGGTGCTCACTATGTTATGAGAGAGGAAGGGGCTGGACAGTGGGCAACAGCCTCGGGTTGGTATTTTACAATTTCACAGCAATTTACAAAGCACTTTCCTATGAGTTACATCGTTTGGTCTTCAAAAGCACCCTGTGGGGTAGATGAACTGGGTTTTCTTTATTTTATTTCTTTCATTTTTTAAATCCCTATTTAGACCATAAAAGGAGCCAAAACTTGCAGAAGTTAAGTGACTTGTTTAAGGTCACACTGTTACTAAGAAGTGAAGTCAGCACATAGTACCAGACTTGGCCTCCCACCCCCCAGACCTCCAAGGCCACCCTGGGCAGCTGAGATTTCAGACAGACTCCTCCCACTGTGGAATGCTTGATATGAAATAAAGGGACTTTTCCATAGACCTCTGGGCTGAGAGCAGGGAGAGGCAATCACAGGCAGCCACAGTGGCCCCGAGGTCGACCTCTGACCCTTCGTCTTGGTAGCAATGTGACAAAATACTGGCATCCCTCCCCTTCAGTGTCCTCACTCTAAATTTAAGTCCAACAGCATGGGATGGGGCTTGGGCTCCTCTAGCTTTCCCCACCTACCTTTTTAAAATTATGCAAATCAATGCCAAATGTACCCTTCTCTAGACATGAGGTTTCCTTGTTACATACACATATTACAGAGAAACAACATGGGTACGTTACATAGAAAGTGCTCTGGAAATGGCCACACGCATAATTCGTGTTCTTACTCAAAGTCTGCCCGACGGCCGGCTGTCTTTGGAAGCCCCTACCTGGTGCAAGGTGAGCCCCATGTACCAGGGGCTGCAGGAGTCTGTTGGAGAATAATTAAGACAAGTTAAGACAACCAGTGGGTGGGAATGGATTCACCTACAAACCTTTTCAACAAACATTTGCCGATGGCCTCTGCCCAGCCCTGCCTCAGGCTTCTGTATGTCACTTAATTCTCACAACAACCCTAGGAGGTTGCTCCTAATGTCCCCATTCCCCTAAAAAGGAAGGGACATATCCAAGGGGGTGGGCATGCCTTCAGGGGTCAGCCACATGCTCATTCCAGAAGCACCCCACCCCCACCCCCACAGTTGCCAGCACAATGCTGGTGGCCCTTGGCCCAGGTCCCCCTCCTGAGAGGCTCCCAAAGGGATCCTTCCATTCAGGACACTGTAAGGACAACAACGTGGTCAGTCACAAGGGACTGAACCCCCTTGGGGAGGGAGGCACTCCAGTTCGCTGGCAGATGACACAAGCAGAGACAAACAGAAGGGCTCAAAGTCAAGACACAAGCAGAGCAAAGGTCAGGGGTCATGACCAATGCCCCCTCACTAGGGCATTGGTTCAAGGCCTGTGTCCAGAGGGAGAAGAATTGGTCAGTGCTGATCCTCTTCATCCTATCCCTCGCTGTCCTGGTCCTAGGGATCTTGGGGATCTGTATGCTGGTGGGTTCCAGGCATCCAAGCTTCTTAGACCTACAAAAGAACAAAGGTTAAAGAACTCATTAAAATCCCAGGTGTTAATTACAGTCAAAGCTAATTAGTTAATATTTTAAGTTGTCTTTAATGGCTAAGGGGTCTGGGGGTGATGTACAAGAGAGGGTAGGGGGAGTTCACCGGCCATGTGGCAAGCAAGCACCAGGAGGAGGGGCTTGTGGTACCAGGAGGTGGAGACAGCAGCAGGTACCGCAGTCAGCACCTGGGCAGCAGCTTGGCATCCAGAGCAGGCGGTCCTTGAAGACTGTGGTGAATCGATGATGTCATCCCTGAAGAGAGATCCTATGGCATGGGAGGGGGCTGTTAGAAACCATCTTGATGACCTCTAACGGCCAGCACAAGAACAGCAACGGGGGGGGGGCAGGTGGAGGGAAAGGGAAGGGAGGGGAAAGGGAGGAGGGAGGAGGGAAGGGAGGAGGGAGGGGAAGGGAGGAGGGAGGGAAGGCAGGCTTGGGTGGGGAAGTGGGAGGGGTATGGAGGGAGGAGGAGCCAGGATGGGGAGGAGGGAAGGGGAGGGGTAAGAGGGATGAGGAAATTGAGTAGGGGAGGGGGAGAAGGTAAGAGGCAGGGAGGCGGGAGAGGAGAAATGGGAGGGGCAGGATAGCAATGGGAGGGGGTAAAGCTGAGTTGATTGACAGGCCACAAGTGTTAGCTGTGTGCGCATGCGCCACTGGAGGGCCCCAGCAAGCGGGCCAAGAACCATTTGCACAAAAAGACCGCTAGGGGGAGCTCGGCCCGCACCAAGAGCCCAATAGCGCAACCACCTGCGGCGCCCCCACCCACGCCACTGCGCAGCTGCTAGAGCCAGGCTGACGTAGGATGGAGGGGGGGCTGCCCAACAGGTCTCAAGACCAAAGGGGGGGGTACAGCCCGCACCAGCCTATTATTCAGGGTCCCTCTGCGCCCCCCAACACCCCTCCAAGCTACCAGTAGACAGAACCCACTGAAATTCATGCGCCAGCACCCCCACCCACACCTGGAGGGCCTTCTGCACCCCTGTCAACTACAGGGGTCACCCCTCATCAGAGCTGAAGACCCTGCAGTAAGGGGCTCCCTAGACCACAATTCTACTTTTAATAATTAAAAACACAGGAAGCTTGCCCCCCCACCACCATCAGTCAATCCAATAAGGCATAATTAAAATTTAAAATAACCAATTTTCAATAGACGCAGCTCAGGCTCATGTTTGGTCTTCAGCTACGTCATATAAAATAAGAGCAGACCTATCTGCGCCCCCCCGCTCCCCCATTCCGCCCCCCAGGCATTGCCGACTCTCCTCCCCCAATAAAAAACCTTGCCTGGCCTCTGCGACACCTTTCTCGAAACCTCTGGCCACTGGCACCTAATTAACCTTTTTTAAAAGAACAATCTTTGCTCAAATAGCCACACCTTTTTAAGACCCCCTGAAAACAAAAATCAGTGAAAATAAATTAATTTGCATCCAGCTCATCTGCAGCACCCTAAATCACACCAGCACTGCAGATGACGCCACCTCTGGCCCAAGCCAGCCCTTGCAGGGGCGCCTCGGGGACCCGCGGACCTCCAAACATTTCTCCCTTAGGTTAATGAATCCATAGCCCTCCAGCAAATCTTGCGCCCGACCCCCTCCAGCAAGAGAACAAAGGCCACCTCCCCTCCCCACCCCGCCCCCCAAAAATCCGCAGTGCCACCATCGCCCTCTTGCGGCCATCAAGAGAACCTTCCAGAAACCTGCCACGTAGCAGCTCGCTGGCGCCCCCCCGCCAAGCCCGCCAGCCCAGAATGGGGAGGGGGCGGCCTGGGGGGGCTTGACAGGGACAAAGGAAATAGCCAAAGGTGATTTACCAACAGTCGCAAGCCTGCAACATGTCAGAATCTTCCAGAAAAACCATCATGCGCAATTCTTCAAAGAGCCAGGTCCCCCAATGTCCAGCACTCAGCTCGCCCCCCCAAACCTCCACACACCCCCTTTTTCTGCGTTTCCTTCTTCCTCCTTCGCAGACCCAAGGACAGAAGCGTCTCTCCACCCCAACCCGCTCCTCATTCTGTTCTACCTGAGTCCCCAGTTCCTTGACCCCCCCCCGCCCCCCATTCTCAAACCGCAGTCTTCCCCCACGGGATTGCGTGGTCTCCGGGCAGATCTACCTGGAACACCGTCTCTCGCCACCGTTCCAGGGACTGCTCCGGGGAGAAGCCGTGGATGGCCATTACACATTTCCCCCCGGTTTTGCTGAGGTGTGTTCTGCATCAAACCTGCATATCTGGAGTCGCTGGTGAACAGCAGTCTCCAGCCCTCACGCCCACGGTCCATCGAGAACCTGGCTAAAGACTGGGGGGGCGGGGGGAATGGCACGAGACCCTTCTCTTCTGGTGCCTTTCCTCCCCCTGATTCATGGGCCATGCAAAATGCGTGGCCGCCATATCTCCCACCATTAACGTGAATCTAAAGGTGGGTTTGAACCCCCCCCAAATCAAGATTTTGGACCCCAGAAACGGCAAGATTCTGGATTCCAAAGGGGGAGCGGCCTTACCCTATTCTCCGTCATCAGAACCCCTGCCACCCAGCCCACTCTGCAGGTCTAAGTGAGAAAAAGGCCCCGGTGTCCGTCACCCACCCCAGGAAAATGTGCCTCGAGCTCTCCCTTCCTGACAGAATTCCGTGTCCGATGCTTGGGTACCAGGGGAGGGGGCCGCCTTCGGGAGAAGGGCCCCAGCATCGGTCTTGCGGCACGTCCGGGAGGACAGAGCCGTAAGGGGATGTCGTCTTCGCTTAGCACATCCTTCTGGCGAAGGATGGCCAACCACTCACCAGGTGAGGCACTCTCATGCGGGAGCTGACGTCTTCGGGGAGGCTGCAGCCGAGGCCAGCAGAGCCAAGGCGAGCTCTATCCCAGCTCTTCGCCGTCTGCGCTAGGGGCTGGCTGGGTGGGGTTTATATGAAGGCGCAGAAGGGGTGGTCTCTGACGTCAGCGCATTCTGCTGCAATGCGCTCATTTCTCTAAAAGTGATTGGCCGGAAAAATGAGCCCCCCAGATTCTATGACAAATTGCTCCAGCCGCACCCAGACTGCAGCAAAGAACGGAGAGAAAAAAAAAAATCTGCCGCAGTGCCCCTGGCCGCCATGACCAACACCCTGTGGTCGCCAGTGTTTTTTCCCTAGATGAGCCCTGATCGTGGAAAGCAAACGATTTCTATGCACAATTTGTGGGGAAGTCATCCCAAGGGGTGGTGGCCCTCGGGCGGCGAGTGTAGCGGTGGGGTATCGGGGGTTCGCAGATTGCTCGTCTGGATACTTCAGAGCATTGAGAGATGTAAAATGGTGTTTTCTGCGTATTGTTCTGGAAAATAAAAAGCCCAGGCAAAATAACTGATTTCCAAATGTCAGCCCGAGGCGTCACCCCCACTTAGCACACCCGGTTTCTAGGGGGGCAATCTTCGATATGGAAGACTCAGAATCTAAGAGTCAGAAGGACCTTGATATTTCAGTCTGGGGGTCTGCGGCTTACAACCTGTGCACCCCGAACCTGCAATATCCGTCCTGCTATTTTAGTGGTGCGTTTCTTGCACTTAAGGGGGCTACCCTGCAACCAGGGCTGTGATGTGTATTTAGATAGACGCAAGCTATGTTCCTCTAAAGAGAAAAGTGCATTTTGAGTAAAGACGGGGTCTTTTGCCGCAGTGCTTAGCTGTACACCCCCAAATCCTGTTAATTCCCCATACTTTGACAGTCGCCCCCCCCTCCCCAGCGGAAGGAGACAGACAGTGACACGTGTTGCTATGGTGCATAGCTGCCTGGCTGCGTACTCCGGGACTTGGCACCCGAGAGCTAATCCTTAACAGGTGGTACCTCGGCAGCTCTGCCCTACCCTAAGTGGCAAAGTGGGCAACATCGTCAATCAAATGTCCTCTCGAAAAGGTCAAAATGCTGTTGAAAGGGATGAAGGATCTATCTTAGGGTGACAGGTGGGTGACAGCTGGGGGCCAAGGAAGGAACAGCCTGGTGACAGGAAAGGGGCGAAGATGAGAGATGGACCCTAAAAGGAAAGGCAGAAGGCCCTACAGAGGACATCAGGGTGAAAGAGCTCTCTGCCCTTATTTGGGGGTGCCCAGCTGCTTCCCAGTGAGCCCCTCGTGGCCAGCGATCTTAGGACTTGACGGTAGCTCGAACAAGAGGTCCCCGGGGCTGAGATGCACCAAGAAAGGCCGCCTCTGAGCCTAGGGAAGCCAGCAAGCTGCACCCCGGGAACTCGGGCCTGGGGAGGAGGGTTGTTCGTGCAGAATGGAGGCACTGTTGGGGTGGGGGGAATGAAGATTTAGGGCTTTGGGGGCATCACAGAGAGCTACCTGAATATTTCAGCTATTAAGAGGTGAAGAAAACACCCCATTTTTAACCCGTAGAACTTGGAAGACAGTACCCCAAAAGAAGGCAACCCTTGCAAACCAGAAGGGCCTCCACCAGCCATAGCCGTCAGGACACCTTCAAAAAACCATGGCTCCCAGCACCCCAGTCAACAGGAGAACATTTATTAGCCCACAGTATTAATAGCTAGGAAACAGCCAGAGCTGGCTGGGGCCAATCAACAGCAAGAAGCCCCTGTCGTCAAGCCCGTGTGGCCAATCAGACACCAGAAGGCCCAGTTGCTAGCCTCTAGGGGCAGAGGCAAGAGGTCTGCATTGTCATGGGGGCCCGTGTGTTCGCGGCCCACGCAGTGGGAACCGCAGTGGCCACTAGAGAGCATCAGCAGCCATGTTCTTGGGGTCCTTGGGGACTGTCAGCCCTGCAACCCCAAAAGAACACGAGCTGTTGCGCTGGTGAGAGCCTTGGGGAGCTCTGAAAGGAGAAGCCTTTCAGACATCCAACAGCCCTTCTCTGTCCTCTAGCCTTGGCGCCCTTGAGCAGAGAAGGGCCTCCGGCTCAAAGTCAGCCTCTGCATTTTTTCCTGGGCCCCTCACTCCTAAGCCTACTCCTGGCAGCAAACCCCATCTCTCTGCTTCAAAGCCTTGCTGACAGGCCAAGGTAACAGACCCTGGAAGTTATGTGTTTCTGACGAAAGTGCTGTGGTTGGAATCTCAGCTCGGCTCCCTCCTGGCTAGGAGGCCAAGGTCCAGGTCCTTCCCCTCTCTAGGCCCCCTATTTCCTCATCTGGAAAAAGGAAGGAGTTGGACAGGAGGGTCCCCAAGGAGCCTTCCAGTCCTGCATTGCTTGATTTGAATGTATACATCAGGCGAGTCAAATGTCTTCCAGAACATTCTGCATGACAGTAATTAGTATCAGGTGTATCCTGCAGTACATGTGGTTAGTTCATCACGCAGCTTTTCTTTCCATTGTATTTTATTTTAAACAGAACTCCATGGCAACATGTTTATCCTTCTGGCTTCTTGCAAAGAAGGAAGGAAGGAAGCAAAGAAAGAAAGAAGGAAAGAAGGAGAGAGAGAGAGAGAGAGAGAGAGAAGCAAGGGCGAGAGAGAAGACGTAAACGAATCTCCACTGAGCACAGTTTAACCACAATAAAAAAAAATCCATATATTTGAGTGTTTGGGTTGGCTTTTCTGGAGCTCAAAACCTAACTTTTAAAATATTTATTGGTCCAAAGCAATGGGAGAAATTCTTGAGGAAGCCAGACCTATGGTAATGTTTGGATCTGAACTGCTTCTGCATCTGGGCAGTGGACTGCCTGCTTGCACTGCTTAAAAAGGATGTGTGAGAGCTCAGAGGGGTATCTAGAGAGGTAAACAGAGGAGGAAATCCAGGTTGGAGAATGGGAACGGTCTCTCCGTGCATGCTGGAACGCAGCCCTCCTGAAGGCCTGGAGGACAGCCAACTTTCCCGAGACACTAGCTGCTGCTGAGCTGGCTCCTCACCTTCCTCCTCCTCTTCCTCTTCTTCCCCATAGATCCAACTCAAGACACACGTTTCTTCTTTTAAAAATGGTTTTTTGAGACAGGGTAGTCCAGGCTGGCCTTAAACTTACTGCAATACTCCTGCCTTAAGCCTCCTGGTTGCTGGGATTACAGATAGCTTTCTTTTTTAATTCATACTTGGGAACCCTCAAAAGCTATGTGAGCAGCACCTATCCGCACGTACATATTTGTGGGCAAATGTACAAACATTCTAAGATTTAGCCAGGAATGAACACAACGTCCCCTTTTTCTCTTCCAAGCATGGGTTAATACAGTCACTCTAAAACTGTGCTAAGGGCTGTTGCAAAACAGCATACATACCAGACCAGAGTGCCTCTCTGCACAGCCCTCGAAGATTTTCAGGCCCCCTAAATGTCCTCCAGAGATCTCTAGGGTCATCTTCTACCCTGTCCTGTGGCCTCAGCAACAGTGGGTACCCCTTCAACCACCACATGTGGTCCCTGAACCCTCTCCCACCACAGACCTCAGACAAAGTCAGAGGAGCTGCAGAGCACATGGAGGGTCCCGCTATTAGGGTGAAGGACTCAGGTAATCAGCCACAGTGCCGTTTTCTGGAACCGGCTCTTCTAGAAGGCACACTAGCCCCAGATCTCCAATGCTGGGAGTAGCCTGCTTCCCCGGAAGCCTAGGTTTGAAGTGCAGCCCCGACTGTTTCATAAAGTTTTCCAGATTGAAGTTACAGAAGGAAAAATTAGTGCAGCGCCTTCTGCAGAAGACCAAGAGTAAAGTTCACTTCCCAACAGACTGTGGGCTTCACGGCAAGGCATGTGTGTCTGTTTGAGTTACATTTGCTTTAGCCGTAGCCAAGGCCAGCACTAACCCATGGGTAAATGTTCACCAGAAAGAAAAGCTGCCCGTGCTGCATCTGGCTGGGTACACCATGTGGGAGGGGAGCTTTGCTCTTCAGGGGTCCTTTCCTAAGCAGGACCAGGGAGGACCTGGAAGGGACCACTCCCCAAAGATGCCACAGCCAATCATTGTTCTGGGTAAATGGATTTGGGGTGATTTTTTTCTTTTTCTCTTACAATTTTTCAACTGGCATGAAATGTTTTTATAATGTTTTTAAATGTTTTAAAATGTTTTTATAATTTAGAAAGAGGAGGCAGCAGCCACTAGACATGGTATACATGTCCATAATCCCAGCATTTGAGAGGCTGAGGCAGGAAGAGCTCCAGTTTGAGACCAGACTGAGCTACAAAGTGAGACCTTGCTTGTCTCAAAAAAGAAGAAAGAACCAGGTGCAGTGACACACACCTTTAACACCAGCACTGGGGAGGCAGAAGCAGGTGGATGGATCCCTTGGGAGCCTGAGGCCAGCGTGGTCTACATAGTGAGGTCCAGGCCAGCTGGAATTGTAGGAAAACCCTGTCTAGGAGAGAAAAGGAAAAGAGGAGGAAAGAAAGAAGGAAGGAGAGGGGAGGGGAGGGGAGGAGAGGAGAGAAAGGAGAGAGGAGAGGGAGGAGAGGAGAGGAGAGAGAGAGGAGAGAGAGAGAAAAGGGGAGGGGAGGGGAGGAGAGGAGAGAGAGGAGAGAGAGAAAAGGGGAGGGGAGGAGAGGAGAGGAGAGAGAGGAGAGAGGAGAGGGAGGAGAGGGCAGGAGAGGAGGGAGAGAGAGGAGAAAGAGAAGAGAGGAGAGAGAGAGGAAGGAGAGGAGAGAGGAGAGAGAGGAGAGGAGAGAGAGAGGAGAGGGCAGGAGAGGAGGGAGAGAGAGGAGAAAGAGAAGAGAGGAGAGAGAGAGGAAGGAGAGGAGAGAGGAGAGAGAGGAGAGGAGAGAGAGAGGAGAGGGAGGAGAGGGGAGGGGAGGGGAGTAGAGAAGAAAAAACACAGCAATGTTGGGGGGTTGGGGAGATGCCTCAGTAGGTAAAGTACTTGCCGTGCACATGTGAGATCCTAAGTTTGGAATCCCAGCACGCAGAAAGCAAGGTGCAGAAGCCTGTGATACCACTGTTGTGGAAGCAGAAACAGGATCCCTGGGACCTGCTGG